CAAGCATTCATTAATTTTGGCTGTGTTTTATAGATTAATTAGAACATTATCAGAAAAGCAGTTATACAGAACCCATAGCCCAGGGAGCTCATGATCTCTGAAGCACGTCTCCTTTGAGAACGAGACATAACACGGGTACTCTGCCAGGGACCTCCAGGGAGCTTAGTCCCGTGGGACACGTATCTCCTGTCCGCTATTATTGACATAATTATTCATGTCACACGGACGACACTGGAGTTGGTGTGGCACCACCCTGATGATAATGGACTAAACCTCTGAACTGTAAGCCAGGCCCAATTAAATGTTTTCCTTTTTAAGGGTTACCATGGTCACAGCAACAGACACTCTAAGACACTGTCCCAACCTTCACCATGACTTTACAGTCCCTGTCAAGACCAGGTAATTCCCGAGACTATCCATGTTGCCAGGGGACATGTATCTAAGCTTGCTAAGTTAATAATCACAATGTTTTCAAGGTGAGCAATCCAAGGGCCAGCGAGTAAATATGACTTTTCAGAAGTCAAACAACAAGCCTGTAATCATATCTATGCGTGGAGCCCAGAGTTCCTGACTCCGGGGAGGAAAGAAGCAGGTGGAACATTAGAGAAGAAAGGTGGGGATGGCTCCGAAGTGGAAGTTCAACAACAATTCCTAAGACCCGCAGCACGGAGAAAGAGAGATGGCCCAGGGCTCAGGAGCAAAGACAAGTCTCACCTTTCAAGACCCTAGTATGAGGTCAGGAAAATCAAATCACGGGGGTGATCTTAGGTGGAGCTCTAGATCATTAGACTTCATTTACTTAAATTCTGCTTGCATCACCAGACTGTCCCAGATGCCTAGAGTAGGGACTGGCCAATAGGTGCAGTAGCGGTAGGACCCGGGGGACTCACACTTACAGCCCAAGAGAAAAGAATAGACATGAAAGTTAGGAAAGACACAAGGGATGAGAACTGGGCTGACCTCACTCATATCCAATGCTCAGAAAACCTACACATTACTCAGGGCCTCCTGTATCTCAGGGACTAAGTAACCATTGCTCAAAATACGTATCACTACTGCCCATGGAAGTCTAATGCTTCCTGCAGTGTTTCTGTAAGACCCAGGACACATCTCTTCTCTTCCACTGGTTTCCCAGGGATGATGTCCTTTAGTATCATGTTTGTTCTGCACTGTATCAACACAAGCACAAAATTTTGCCCTGTAACGGAAAAAAAAAATAGCATGCCATATATTAGATTAATAGACTTTTCTAAAAATGATGGGCAAAGGGTGTTCCCTCACTCATTAGACAACAGACAAGCCACAAATCTATGTGTTTCTATTCTCTTAAGTCCTCGTGAGCAACCCCAAAGATGGTTTTCCCTGTTGGCTTCAACTCTCTGTCTACCATCACGGCCGCCATGCCCACATGTATCTGCCTCCTCCGTTTCCCTCCTTCACTCTCTCTTCTGTTATTTTCTCTCTTATTAACCTCTCCAGTCTCAGACACACATTTAGAACATCCTACCTCATTCAAGAGTGTGCCCCTGGCCATGACAGCCCAGCTGAATCCCAGGACTAGACTAGGAAAGCTTGATCTGCCCTGTGCCTTCGGAGGCACCTTATAGGCTTCTAGTAGAGGGAAGAGGCCCAAAGTGAAATACTGCTTTTATTTGATGAGCAAAAGTCATGCTTATGACAACCAGAGATTTTCAGTTTTTCAGATCTATGTAAACTCTCAAAATATTCTCAGTCTGCAAACTCTGGACCGAAATGTAACTTGAATCCAACTGCAAAAAAATCACTCAGTGAGCATTTCCTGCAGTCAAACTAAGTAACCAGGTGAGCAATGAAACTTCAAGACAGATGGACTGTTTCTTTCACTAGCTAGTGGCACAAAACAACGTAAGTTGGTTGTTTTCAAGAGTTATATGGGTCAGGAATCGCAAAGGGCATGACAAGGACAGCTGTTATTTGCTCCACCGTGTCTAGAGCCTCAGTGGCTGGGGATTACCAAACCGCTGGATTCAGTAATTATCTGAGTATTCTTTTACTCATCTGTCTAGTATTTGCGCCCCTCCCCCCTCTGGCTTTCTCACAACATAGAGGTTAGGTTCTGGGGTAAGAGGCCTCTAAGAATGTCCCTAGTGATCCCTACCTGCTGGAACTCACAGCGTGTGTAATCTCATCCCCTTGAGTACTTGCAGCTAACCAACAGAACATGGCAACATTATTCTCTCAATGTTTTCCCACCATTAAATTACAAAGGCATGTGATGCATTATCTCTCCGTTGCTCTTGCTAGCTTTAATGAAGCAAGCTGCCATGTTGAAGAGGCTCCAACAGCCAGGAACTAAAGCCTTCGGTTTAACAAACCTTAAAGAATTGAATCCTTCCCTCAAACCTTGGAAGTGGCCTTGGAAATGGACTACTCTCCATGTGTATTTTCAGATGAGAGCCTCCACCCCAACCCTTTCCCAAAACCTCAGTCACAGTCTTGTCCTGAATCAGAAGATCTAGCTGACCATGGCTGAATTTCTAACTCAGACAAACTGTGAAATGAATAATAAATGTGTGTTATCTTAAGCTGAGGTCTTGGAATCCATTTTTTAATAGAGCAGCAGATATCTAATACAAGCTCCAAGAATGAATGTTCCACAAAAACCAGGCAGAAAGGACTGGGGAGGTGGCTCAGTTGGTAAAGTGTTTGCTGTGCAAGCGTGGACATCTGAGTTTGACCCCAGTGCCCATATGAATATATAAAATTTAAAAAGCCAGGCATGCTGATGTGCTTGTAACCTCATCACTAGGGAGACAGAAATAGAGGATTCCTGGGACTCACTTGCTCACTGACCAGCTAGCCTAGTGAGCACCATGTCCCAATGAGAGACTCTGTTTCAAAACACAAGGCTTGGCCGGGCGATGGTGGCGCATGCCTTTAATCCCAGCACTCGAGAGGCAGAGCCAGGCGGATCTCTGTGAGTTCGAGGCCAGTCTGGACTACCAAGTGAGGTCCAGGAAAGGCACAAAGCTACACAGAGAAACCCTGTCTCAAAAAAAAAAAAAAGCAAAACACAAGGTTGACAGTGCCTGGGGAACGCCTGAGGTTGACCTCAGGCCTCCATGTGCACACATATGTATGTGCATGCACACACATACAAACACACACACAAACTTGATTAATTTATTAATTTAACTTGAAAAACAGGCAGAAACTATATTATCATATCATGATTTATGACCTAGACTCAGAAATCACATAGGGATTTGGGTGTGTAAGTAAATAGTAGACATTTCCAAGCATACACAAAGTCCTGAGTTCAGTCCCCAGCATCAAACATGTGCACGTGCACACACACACACACACACACACACACACACACACACACACACACATTCCATAATATCACTTCCCTCAAAGTTAAAAACCTGCTGGTTCAAGAAAATGGGTGGTATACCCCATCTTTCAAAGGGAGTGTACAATGTCAAAATATCATCCCAGAAAAAAACATGAGGTAGGAGAGTCACAATGATGATCTTTGGAAAATACACTCTGTCACACAGTTCTGTGGCCTGTCTTCTAGCATGGCCTGGTCTCTTCAATGTATACATGTCAAGAAAGTTGTGTATTCCTTTGCTATTTTGAAACTGAAGGTTTGTTTATGCTCCTTCTGATTTGTCTCCCCTACATTAAAAAAAAAAAGTTCCAAAATTTCTCAGCATGTCACAATCTAAATGGGAGTTTCCCCTCCTGCAGTCAGAGAGACCTCAGAGCCACAATTTCCAAGAATGTAACCATCTAAAGAACAAGATTCTGCACTTAAGAAAGACTCCAAATGGATTACAGCATTGCTCTGGCTACATGTGCTGAAATATTCCAACATTGCTCCACAACCCATGCCAGAAGAGAAGAAACACATCAGTGAGAGAATGGGGGGACTGGTGGGAATCAGACAGCAGGGGCTCTAACGCCCCATAAGCTCCTAGAACATCTGAGCCAGCAGGCACCCCAAAGAACCCTCAGTTCACCTTCCACCGGTACCCACAGCGCAAATGTTTAGTGAGACCCAGTGGAACAGAGTTGACTTCAGTGTTCTGTGCAGCCTGAATGTGTCAGGCTTCACCACTTGGTAAAGTCATACACCTGCTGGCTGCACATCACTGCAATCTGAGCCTCCTGTTACTGGATTTCAAGATGTACAGGCTTTGGCCAAGCTCCTCGAGAGAGGCCTACACATTCCAGACAATTCTGCTCTTCCCACCTCTGCCAGCTCTCAGGCTCCATGTTGCAGATTCTTATGTTCAAGCACCTGCTCCTCTCAGAATCCAACTTGCCCAGACTTGCTTCCCTGCCTCAGCATGAGGCACAGACCTTCCCACCTCCCTTTGTGATAACCCACACTGGGCTGAAATTCAACTATTCATTAGTAAACAGTTGGAGAGAAGACAATTACAACACAGAGAAACTCAAGCAAATAAATGCCTCTGTTCACATCCCCTGGGTCCTAGAGTGACCCCCACATTCCTTTCTGCTGTGGCCAGACATGGAGCAAGGGCCAGCCACCTTCCTAAAATGGGAATTTTCTTGATTCCCCCAAATCCTGAGGTTCGGGGAAAAGGAGGCAGCCATTTTTCCACACTCCAGCCTGAGTCCCATGTCCCACATCCTTCTTTCCTGGCTTAGGACTGGTCTTGTTCCAGGTGGCCTGAGAACAGAGGTGACCATTTCATGGAAATGTCCAACTTCTAAAGGATATCAGAGCAGGCACCCAGACACAGAACACTGCATGTGTAAGACTAGCAATCCCTGATGGAATCAGCTAGGTTTTCCTTATTCTCTTTCTAACAGGAGTCTACAGATCAGGATTACACTGTTTTCCAGCCTTGTGTATTTCCTAGCTCCTGTATCTAAAGGATGACTTACTTACTCATTAGAAAATATCTTAGAGCCAGAGGGTGGTGGTGCACACTTTTATTCCCAGCACTCAGGAGGCAGAGACAGGTGGATCTCTGTAAGTTCAAGGCCAGCCTGATCGACAAAGTGAGTTCCAGGACAGTTGGGGCTATTACACAGAGAAACCCTGTCTGGAAAATTTTTAAAGATTTATTTATTTTATGTATATGAATGCTGTATCTGCATGCCAGAAGAGAGAATCAGATCCCATTTATAGATGGTTGTGAGCCTCCATGTAGGTGCTGGGAATTGACCTCTTGAAGAGCAGCCCCTGTCCTTAAGCTCTGAGACATCTCTCCAGCCCCTGTCCTGGTTACTTTTTAATGTTAATCTGACACAACCTAGAGTCTCCTGGGAAGACGGAACCTCAGTTGAAGAATTACCTTTATCAAATTGACCCATGGCCATGTCTATGAGGAATTTTCTTGACTGATAATTGATGTGGGAGAGCCCAGTCCATAGTGGGCAGCATCATCCCTAGGCAGGTAGACCTGGGATGTTTAAGATAGCTAGACAAGCTAGTAAATAGCATTCCTCCACGGTTTCTGCTCCAGGTTCCTGTCTTGAGTCCCTGTCTCAATAATGGATTGCGACCTGGAAGAGCAAGCTGCAATAAACCTGTCCCTTCCCTAAGTTGCTTTTGGTCAGAGTGTTTTATCACAGCAACAAAATAAAAATAGGACAGAGCCGTTTAGAAAAGTCAACGCTGTAATTCATGACAACAACTAACCTAATTTTGCCAAGTAAAAATTTCAGATTCCTGGAGCCAAGTTATCAGATCTTCCTCATTCCCAATTAAAGTTCTGTCTGTTTGCTTGCTTTTGTTTTGTTTTTGTTTTTTTCTTGTGGCTGGAGCTGGAGCACAGACAGTATAGTGTGTGCCTAGCATGCACAAAGCCCTGTGTTCAACCCACAGCAGGAAAAATACTGGGTATGGTTAGTTCACACCTGTAATCCCAGCACTTGGGAAGTAGAAGCAGGAAGGTTAAGAGTTCACAGCTTGCAGCTAGCCTTGTTTTAAAAAATCAAAACAATTAGCTGAGCGTGGTGGTGTGTGCCTTTAACGCCAGAACTCAGGAGGTAGAGGCAAGTGGCTCTCTGAACTCAAGGCCATCCTGATCTACAGAGCTAGCCGTTCTCCTCTCACGGATGTGTTTCTTCTCTTCTGGCATGGGATGTGGAGCAATGATGGAATATTTCAGCACATATAACCAAAGCAATGCTGTAATCCATTCGGAGTCTTTCTTAAGTGCAGAATCTTGTACTTTAGAGGGTTACACTCTTGGAAATTGTGGCTCTGAGGCCAGAGCTACAGAGTGAGACCCTGCCTTAAAAAGAGAGCTATGAAATGTTTTCTCCAACTTGCATAAAACGCTGTGCTCACTCCTTTCTCTTCCCCTTACACTTGCTTTTTCTGCTCTCTTGTCCTCATGTTACACTGTACCCGCACGTACTTTTGTGCAGGTGATGGACACAAGTTATGAAGGGGATACAGAGCTAACTGTTTTTCTAGTTCTAATTCTACCATGGACTTTTTTGGTCTGGATGGTGGATACATGCATAGAATATTTCATACTAAAAACATAAGATGTAATATGAAACTTCACAGTTTCCATTTTTAATGCCAATTCTAACTGTATATAGGTTCATTAAGTTGTATAGACTTGAATATGATTGATTGTGATATGTAATGCTTTTATTTATTTGTGATTTTTAATAATAAATTATTATTAAAAATTTTTAAATATAGTTTGTATAAGACCCATAGGAAGAACTTCTTTAGACACTTCCTCTTCCAGGAGATAAACTATATGCAAATTATAAATGAAAGGGTTCTTTCCTTTCACATTCCCCATTAGGTGATGCAAAATCTTTCTAGTTTATAGTATTTTTTATGGGGGGAGGCAGAGTATGTACATGCGCATGCAGGTATCTAGGAAGTCCAGAAGAGGGCAGTAGATCCCTTGGAACTGCAGCTATAGGAAGTTCTGGGCCTCCTGATATGGATGCTAGGAACTGAACTCAGGTCCTCCACAAGAGCAATACAGTACATGCTCTTAACCACTGAACCATCTCTCTAGACCCAGACCCAAAAATCTTTAGGTCCAGTCTTATCCACCTACGCCTTGTTCCATCTACTTTCTAGACAGAGGAAAAAGGGATTCTGTGAACATCAGTTTGCATTATACGAACAGAAGGTAGGAAAGCTGAAGTTTAGGATCCTAGCTGCCCTGGATGTACTGGCTCTGGCTGTCATACCAGCCACACTTGATCTGAAAGGAAATGTTACAGATCACAAAAACACACAGTGTGCCGACGGGCCAAGCCTGCAGCCGGTTGCTCCTGTTCAGCTGGAGGTTACAGCGGACAAACAATGGAGCCGCTTTCAAAGTGAACTTCCGTTTCCAGGATGAGAAGGAAACGTTGGGACATAAGCTCTTAGGAGACACCTGTGGCGAGCAGGGTCCTGTGCCAAGGAGGCTGAAGAATTGGGAAAAAGAGGGCTCCAGAGCCATCACGTGGATTTGCCCCTCTCATAAGCTTCTGTCAGGGGTCCTCTTTGCCTGGCTTTGTGCTGAGAGACAGGCAGATGACAAAGAGGCTCCTGTCTGCCCAAGCCTCATGA